AAAATTTTATGCAATTCTCGATGTCATAATTCGACAACATGTCGTAATAAATAGTTTTAATATATAATTTATTATGTAGGTTTGTTATTTGTGTTGTATTTGTGATTTTCTTGTATATTTTTTGAAAAAAAAATTCAATAAATTTCTTTCTATCTCTATTAAATTAAAAAATAGTTATTAATATTGATATCGAAAAAATTACGTTGATTTTTTAATGTTTAATGTTTATCAACTCATTCACAGTAGCTTCGACAATAGTGTCCGTCGAAGTTGTAACTTCGGCAAAGAGTGTAACTTCGGCACGACATATATACTCTGTTTTGCCAGGAAAAATGACGAGTAAATTCGTCATATTCCTATGATGTTTCAAGATGCAAACTTATATTGACTAAAAAACACTCGAATCGATGATTTTTTGATATCGAAGAAGAAAAATAATCATCATCGGAAATCCTTGACAATCATGAACAATCTTTGGCAATCAAATCAATCTGGGCAATCAAAAATTCATCTTTTCCCCCTTGTAAAATACTCTATTTGATCAAGGTATAGTAAATGAAAAGTGCTAAAAGTTAAAAATTTGGTTGATGTCTCAGCTAGATAGGCGTATTTAAAACGTAGCATAAGGTTAAATCCTGATGTTGAATATTGAGCTTCGAGCTGCCTGTGCCTACAAAACATATAATATATTGAACTGGTTTTGCTGTAAAACAATTTTTGGCATCGTTTATGACAAAATCGGTAGAGAAAATCTCGATTTCTAGAGGGGGCTGATTTCGATTCTTAACGCCACCCGTCGTTTGTACAAAAATTCTTGTCTATGTACTTCTATTTAATTATGATATCAAAACACTTTTAGATACTTTGGGGAAAATAAGCGGTCTTTTTCATTTCATTTTCTTCGCTTTTACGAATAAAATATCCATTTCTCTTTTTTTTATAATTGTAAATTAAAAAAAAGAACAATATCTTGATGTTCGTAAGTAATAAAATTTCTACATTTATTTATTTTCATGGCATGAGTCTAGAAATTTTATTTCAAGCTATGATTTATTATAGAAACAGTCAGGATAAGTTCACAATAGAGACGTGCACAGGGCATGACGGTCCTGTTGTCCTAGTGTCTGTCCTGCCCTGTCCTGCCGCCGTCAAGACCAAAGTAGCCAACAAGACAGACAAGGACATGAGAAAAAATGTCCTGTGCGCGTCTCTGGTTCACAAGTGTATTTGAATAAAGTAATTGTGAAATTTAGATACAATGAAGTAGTTGGTAATAAAAGTAACATATTTATAGCATTTGTTTCCTTGCATTGGGAAGAAATGGTGAACAGCACAGCACAGCACAGCACAAACTTTAAAATCCTCATTTACTGCGTATGCGTCATTATAATATCAAAAGCAATGCGGAACAAAGTAAATGGTTTTGGGCAAATAACAATCTATTTTGATACGCATACTGATTCATATATTTAATCTATTACATTAATATCAACTTGATTCAATTTTAATGATAGTGCGGTAGTCTGAGTGCTAGAATTCTATTTGATTCCAACGCATAGTAATGATTTTTTTGAGGATAAAGTAAACTCATTTAACTCACAACAGTATCGTAAAGTAGAAAAGCCGAAAAGTGTATGTTAATCTATTTTAAGCAGGAACTAGTTCACACACTTTTTGGTTTTTGAATGTGTTCAGAATCCTTGAATATTGTATTTCGGACAAATTTTAACGCGTCTTTCGATATGAACATGTTGTGATGCTGATAGTATTTAAATAAGTGGAGACGTGTTTACTCACTGTGAAAGCACGTTTTATTGATCCTGTCAAATAGATGGCGTTGACTGAAACAGATATTTTCTTGTTATTATTAAACATTATCAGAGGTATAAAGTGACATAGATGCGTCCAAACACGCCTTAGAAGCAAAAGTACTACTCTTTTGTGTGCGTTCAGTGTAAAATTCTCTAAAAGCGTACGAGAAACGCAGAGATAAATAAGTTTGAACACGTTTCACTCATACTTTGATACTAAAACACGCTAGAACGCCGAAGATTTGCAACATAAACGCATCTGGATGTGTCTAAAAAGTGTTTGATGGTTACATGAGCAATCAACTAGTAAAAACCTATTGTATTTCTATAGAATAGAAGTCTTAAAGCCCCCAACACGTTAGAAGACCCCCCCTGAAAAGAAGATCCCTATTGAATAAACGACACAAAAGACATTAGAAGACCCCCCTTCGAATGATTGATTTTTTTAGTTTTTCTATCCTGCCTATATACTCGTTTTTTTCTTATGTACGTCTCGTCCACTCATTTCACAATCTCTTTCTGCTTAGATCCATTGTAAATGTAATTGAATAACGCTTAACTTAATTAATATACATATGTATGCGACATGTGAACAGCAGTGTATACTTTGATAGATTTCAATTCTTTTTCATTCACATAGATCTTATCACAAACTGTCATCTATTACCATTAAGTATTGACAGTGATGACATTAATGAAGAATCTGATTCTGATATCAAAGTTAATGATACAGAACTGGTAAATGATGATTTTATACGACTTAACCCTTTCCGGCCCGGTGTTGCCATATGGCAACATTTTCCCCTAGGGGGGTACGGCAATTTTCAAACAGCGGGCCGGAAAGGGTTAATCTTAGCAACAACGAGCACAGTAGTGAAGATGAACCTGAAAATTTATAATTGGTTTATAGCTACTACCGTATAGAATTTACTATATGAAAAATCTTGTCGAACACAATTTTTTCTTTCTTCCTTTCATAAGTACTCACTTTTTTTTTGCATTTCTTTTTCATTTTGTGAAATGATTCTATGAATGTCGTTATTCTTTTGCAGCTTTCTTGTTCGCTGCATTTTTCTTCCTGTTACTTTACAGTCGTTTTGTTGACTTTGTTGAATACTTGCTATGCATTAATGCACATTTTGAGTTGCAAAACAGTTTTTTCTACTAACCAACTAATTTTGAATTTTATTTATAAAAAATTTTGTTTGATCGATTAAAATATTTTAATCTTATCTCATTTTTAGTTTGATGACATTAAGATCAAAAGCAAATCTTACGGTAGTGAAGAAATCTAATTTAGATTAATTTCATGAATACTTTAATTTTAACTTTTTGATCATCAAACGAGAAGTTAGAATGGCATTAATAATATAAATCTATTGATTGTTCTTATTAAATGTAGCATCGTCATTTTACAAGGATAACAAATATTGTATACTTATCGATTATGTTATTTGTTAAAAGAAAACTATGGACGATTAGTTCATCGATATTTTTAGTTATTGGTATTGGTATATTAATTGTTATATCAAACCTTTTTTTAATGTTTAAACAAAGACAAAATACTATTCATATGAATAATATTCTTTCAAATTTAAAACTACAAATGAATCAAATTGAAAATTCATCAAGAATTTATAAATCATTTGAAAATGATCTCCAATCAATAGTAACTACAGTTGAATGTGTTGGTCCACTCTACAATCAATCGTGTCTCTATAAAAATCTTTATTATACAAATCGTGGATTTTGGGCTCTATCATTGAAAGAAACAAATTTATCTTTACCAGGTGTTCGACTTGAAGCATTAGCTACTGTCGATTATCGACCAAATCATCGTGTATTTGATACATATGAAGAACTTCATCAATTTGTTCGTTTTAGTATTGATCCAATAGTTCTTCCAGGTGTTACAATTCATTTCAATCAACGTTGGCATAAAAATATTGGTCACGCACTTTTTGATGGACTCTATCCAGCTTATGTTGCACTTATTCGTTTTGCTCCTAAACATTTACGAATATTTCGTATATTTGTTGGTTTAGATGATGCCAATTGTAATAATTGTTTTAGTGAAGATGTGTACAGTCGGTTTGCTGGCGGTGGATTCATTAAATCTAATATTATTGATATGATTATGCCAAATAGATGGCTTCTTTTTGAAGAATTAATCTTAGGTTCTGGTATGATGTGTCAACGATGTATTCAATCAAATTATCAACTAGCAGGTGGTGTAGAACTTGATGGATCTCGATTATTTCGCGATCGAATGTATAAGCAACATGGAATTATTCCTATTGATATTCGAAAAAATCATTCAGCAGAAAAACGCGATCCAAAAATACCATTGAATACTTATATTATTCATAATAAACGTTTTACAACAGAAGAACAAGAAGAAATTCAAATGGCTATTAGTGAAATTAATAATTATACAGATAAACATATAAATAAAAGTCTAGATGATATTAAAAAATTACCATATCCACTAATAAATGTTTTCTATCTAAATTATCGTAATATAACAGCAAAAACAAATGTTTCAAATGAATTAATAGATAATGATTTTATTGCTCAATTAAGAGTTTTACGTGATATGGATATTCATATAACAGGACCTGGTACAGGTCAAATGTATCAAACATTTCTTCGTGATGGTTCAATAAATATTAATCTTGGAGGTTTAAATCCGTATAAAAAAGAAAAAACACCTATTGCTTATCCATCATTTCTCGAACAATATGTAACGGCCGGTACTCCATATATCAAAGGTCTCTATTATCCAATTAATAAAAGACGAGATGGAATTACAAGAATTGAATTAGTTAAATTGATCAAGCAAGCAGCACAATTGATAATGCAAGGATTTTCTATACCAGTAAAAGCTAAAGATAATTTAGCACCTGATGGACAAGTATTCGTAGAACAATGTGAAAATGATAAAGAATTTTGTAGTTTAGTTACAATAAGAAAATCTGGTTATTTCTGGTGTAATAATATGTGGACAGAAGATTTAGTTCATGAACGAAGACAATGGGCACCAGGAGGAATTCCTATCGGCGATTCAAATGTTAGTTGTTCATTCAATCGTACATTATTACGTTTATTAAGAGAAAAATATGCTATTGAATATCGACCTGGTCGAGAATAAATAAAAACAAATAAAAATTATATCAATAAATTAAACAAGATAACTAAAGAAAAATAGTAAAATACTTAGAAACAAAGAAACTAATCTTTCACACAGATTTAGTATTCTTATGTAATCAGATTTTCTATTTCTCAGTTGTTGGACACTCCTATATGGACTTCGTCTCTTCACATATTCGTTTTTCCTGAGTATTCGATTTTTGAAAACACAGAATACAACAGGGTACAGGTCACGTACGACGATTGATTCCAACATTGTGTTTCATACTCAAAGAAATAAACAATCTGATCTCCATTACATGTCAATAGAACTTTATTATACAATCATGTTTTGAGTTAGTGTTTTCATACTTACAGTGAGATCTATAATTATCAATATTTTTATAGGCAACTATAAACATATGTTATGCCGATTGTTGAATAGCATGTCAGAGTAGTTTAAGAAGACGCAATTAGTTGAGTTTAATTCAAAAAAATTCAATTCTTTTGATGATTTTAGGTCACTGGAGAGAAAATTTGTATAATATTCTTTTTTGATTAAGATTATTTTTTATTCGTTCTGATGTTAGATTTTAAAGCAGATTGTTGTAGATCAATTAGAAGAAAATTTATTTAGTTAAATAGTTATTTACTTATCTGATCAGTTTGTTTTAGTATGAAACGATAAATTGATTATTTTCAATTATTTTATCTAATCGCCAACAGAAAATATGGTACTAATAATATTATGTCATTTGAAAAGATTCAACCACTATGGAATTAATGTTAAAATGCAATAATGAGCACTACACTCTTTTATTTCGCGAAATCCAAAACTATTAAATATGATAATGATTTTAAATATAGAATATTACTTTTTATACTCGATGAAAACCTATATGAACGCATCGCTTTCATGAACATCAAAATCGATTTGACTCAGATATATACACATATGTGTAAATAGTCAACACAATATATATGAAATCATTATTATCTGATGTATATTTACTTATCAATACAAACTAAATATTTTATTTTTCTAATAACTTTATTTTATTAATTATTTATTGCGCACAAGTTTAAATTAAGTAGTACAATTACACAATAACAGAAAAAATTAATTCAAATAAAGATCAACTAATTTAAAAACATTTCTGGTGCTTCCTCTCTTCGATTTGGAAGGAAATGCTTGAATTTCATTATTTTCAATACGTTTAACATAATGATCACGTAAAGATAATTGATCATAAAACATTAAAGATGGAACATCTTTATAACAAAGAGGTGTTGCAAAAGCCAATGCAAATAATCCACAAACATTACCACGAATTTGCTGCTGAACATGTTCAAATTAAAGCGAAACTTTTTCTTCATCAGGTAATATATCTTTAAAAAATTTAATTTTGATTCTTTCGGGTAGCTTAATGAATCATAAACTTTCCAAGCATTATTAGCATTATTATCACAATTAAAATTTGATATTGCTAGCCAATGATTACTATTTGCATTAAAAATAAAAATAGAGTTCATCAATGAACCCGCGTATAAATGAATTTGTGCGGGACCACATAGAACATTAACATTCGGAAATTGTTAATGTAATAATTCAAAAAACAAATATATATGAAAATCAGTTAACCACGTTGTTTTATTATAAACATCGCGAATTGAGTCTAATTTTTTGTTCCGTTTAACTTGATAACTATTTAAATCTGATGAAGTTTGTTTGTAAGCTCTTTTATTTCTTTTATCTTGATTATTCTTGTCATCTTTTTGCTTATAAGCCACTAATGAAGCTCTACCATGTGGCCTCCCTCGAGGATTAATTACTGGTGAATAATTCAGAATCTTTTTTTGTTTTAATAATAAATATGCCTGTTCTTCTTTTGGTTCTGATTCTAATTCTAATTTTGATACATTTTCATTTTCATTTTGAAATAATATCATATCAGCTTCTTGTTCTTGGTTAAATTTGATAACATTTGACTCCTGAATTTCTTCTATATTGTCTAAATTTGCCTGTTTTGCTGTTACTTGTTTCTGTACATCATCAGATAAATTTACAAATATTTCTTGTTCTATAACTAGATCTACATGTTTGGAATAATTGTGTTTTAAAGAATTCGCATAATTGTAGAATTCTTTATGTTTGTTTAAGGTAATTAAATCGGCATTCAAATTAAGAAAATCTAAATGTTCCTTAAATTCAATGGTTCCAGATTGAATTATACGAGCTGCTAATATATCTAATATTGGTTTAATACTATTGTACTTGTTATTACTATTTTAAATTTTATTGTTTTAGGTGTAATTTGAGTAACTGTAAATTGAGAATTATGATTTGGTATATCATCATAATCATTGACTTCATTTGAATAATAATTAGCTGGGTTTTTTGACCATCGTTTATTGAGTGAAATAATTTGTTACAATTCACGTGTTCTCTCATATATTTCATCATTAATTTAATTAAGCAACACTATCATATGACGACATAGTAATTGATTTTGTAAATAAAATTGACAATCACAAAATAATAAATTATTATTTGAATCACGATAAGCTATACTTCACGTAATAAAACGATTATTTTCTTCGTCCTTTTGACCGACTCCCCATTTATTATTTTCAATTTCTTCAATAAAATAATTTTTAAGTTTTGTTTCATCATTTTGTTTACGTAACAATTCATTGACTTTGTTGGTCAGTTGTGAATCGAATTTCTTGAGTAATATTGAATCATCATCATTATAAATCTTCTTTTTTAAACTAATATTTAAATTCATTTCTTCAGCTTTTAAATCGTTCACGATGATTGCTGGTGTCAGTATCAAAATTAAATACGTTTTTACAATATTTTGTTTGCCACATTTCACAAAAGGAAAGCCAATTTTTTTCAAAATATTCATAAAAGTCATCGTTATCATAAAGTAGCTTGCGAATATTTTTCATAATATTCATTCTGTTTGTTAATGAAATTTTAAGTGCATGAATTTAAACTTTTAAATACTCCAGAACATGGAATACACATAGTAATGTTCGTGCTTTATCAAAATAATGTCGTGAAATATCAGCATTTGTTAAATCTTTATCAATCATGACAACTTGTGTTTCAGATAAATCACTAAGTTTCTTAAAAGAAGAATAAAAAATTCTAAATTTTCTTTTATTCCAGTCACCATTAAGCAATAAGAAACAGGCATGCCTTTTAAATTAGCATTTTGTACTAAACATATATACAATTGATAATTTTCAATATTAACTTTAAATGTCGAACCTATGTATATTTGGATATTTTCTAAACCATGTTTTCATTTGAGAAGTTTGAACATATAAACGTTCTAAAATACCCTTGTCATTAATTTTTATTTGAACAGAATTCTGAGAGTTATCATTTAACATTTGATTAATCCATGTTTTCAATAATTCTGGATCGCTTTTATCTCCAACTAAGTTAAATTGAAAATTTTGTTTAAAATTGTTTATGTCTTTTCTTGTTAAATTAATGTCAAATTTATCATTTATTAATTTTCGATTATTATATGTTGAAGTTTTTGCAGTAATTAACAGTTTGCATAAATCATATGCTTCATTATTTTCTTGTAACTTTTTATTTCTAACAAATGAATAATTCTTGTAAATGTTTTCATCTAATGGATGATTGTGAGCTAAGTTTTTGTTTTTCATAAAGATAATTTTATTAATTTCAGTATCATGTTTTATTTTGAAATAAAATTGAGAATCTAATCGAGCTGATTCTTGATTTGGTCTTGAACCATCTTTTATGTGTCGTCTAATTGGACCACTTTGATAACATACGCACATTACATGTTGGTATCGCAAGCGATCAAATAACTCTTTCATTACCCATGTAATCACGAAACGCATTTTAGAAGCACTTAAATGCGTTTATGTTGCAAATGTTGGCGTCCTGATGCGCTCCGGCATCGAGTTATGATAAAAACGCAGATAAATGCGTTTGTAGTTATCTTTTTAAACGTGTTTAAAGAACTTCGACGAGTTTATTAGCGTTAATCAGAGCAAACGCATATGAACGCATTTAAATTCTTATTTTAAAACGCGTGTGAACGCAATCTATGTCTTTTCCTGCGTTAGATC